CCTTTAAGTTCTGAGAAAGTGTAACTTCTTGGCAAAAGAGCAGCAGACCTGAAAACACACAACTAGATGAATTATGTGAAGGTGAATTACATGAAAATGTAACAGGAAGGACTGATTGGAAGCACTTGGTTTTGAAGGGAATGAATAAACAAATATTTCTACAGCAGCAAACGACAAGATTTCTGGGAATTGAGAGGAAATGCTCAAAGAAGGGGGCATGGTAAGTACTCTAAATAATTTCCAAATCCATCATAGTTGGAATTATTGAACTAGAAAGGTTATGCCCACCGCAGTGTTAGTATTTTCAGTCTGCAAGTCTTTAGCATTGCAACTCTCACTGCAAAAATTTGGCCAATGTCTCCTAAAAATGCAAATATTCACAAGACTGTCAGAATCGAGTTTGCATATGGTCCCTTCAAGATCAGGCATTAAAAAAATTTTAGAATTACTACCATCAGATGGGAAAAACACAGAGCTTCTTACAAGAGAAGATAAATATAATCCAAGTTCATAAAATAAGCATTATTGGAGAAACATGAGGCACATTTTGAGTAGTCATAAAAGCAATTATTTGGAATCAAAGAAAATTATATTCCTGTGAAACTAAGTTTCCAATGGAAGCAAACATTTTCCCTGGCATACAGACAATTCCTGTAAAAGAATAGTACTTCCTACATCCTGCATTCTAGGAGTTGTTGGGAGACATACTGGTACTTTTCACAAAAGGTTATGCAAAACACATCAAAATGAATCATCCAAACACTAGAGAAGATACCTATCACATTCCAGCAGTTCATGACTGTTGTCACACCAGCTTCCTTCTTGTCCACAGGCTGTTCTTTAAAGCCTCATAAACTTTAAAAGATGAGCTCCAGCCAGTGGAATTTTTATTCTGACTGACCTTTCAGCAGCTGTTTTCATATTAAAGATAAACCAACCACTCTGAGTGAGTCTCAAAGAGACAGAAGATTTCATGCAAGAGATTTTGAACTGCTATTTCTCAAAAAAATTCCAGCCAATATAATGATAAAGCATTGGAAAAAACATTAAAGACATGGGGGTAACTCTAGTTGTCTTAAATGCTGCTGCATCTACAAATGTGCGACATGTTTCAGACACACAAAATCATCATGAAAAATAACTGCTGTAGGTATTTAAGATTTTATTTTGATGCACAGATCATTGACTGTTTTAAAAAGAATTAAAAAATGTAACTTGCTATAGACACATTTTAACACCTTCTGGTTTGATTGAATTGTATGACAAATTTCTGAGTATTAAAATGAATCTATTCAAAAATTGGTTGATTATGTTTTTCGCCATGTATTTTCACACAGCATATGAGGAAAACCACGAGATCACAGCTGATGTTCATTTTCAGAAGGCATCAAAAGTTTGTGTCTCAGAAAAAGATGAGGATGAAATTTGTGATTTTCCAACTTGTAAGGAACTGATATGTTTTCTACTGGCATTTTCTTAATTGGTTGATTATGTTTTTCGCCATGTATTTTCACACAGCATATGAGGAAAACCACAAGATCACAGCTGATGTTCATTTTCAGAAGGCATCAAAAGTTTGTGTCTCAGAAAAAGATGAGTATGAAATTAGTGATTTTCCAACTTGTAAGGAACTGATACGTTTTCTACTGGCATTTTCTGATATCGTTAAACTCTGGACAAGTAAAACTGACAAGCACAGCTTTCCTAAATATTCAGTATGTGACATGACTGATTTCTGGCACAGAGAAAAAGAGTCCAGTTCATTGATGGAGGACACCATGACACTGGTGTCCCTGAATGTGCCACAAGAATGTGGCTGGTTTGCTTTGTGAAATGTTGACATCATGGAATCACAGAATTCCTGGGTTGGAAGGGACCTTGGAGGTCATTGGGTATTCCTGGGTTGGAAGGGACCTTGGAGGTGATTGGGTTCCATGCCATGGGCAGGGACACCTTCCACTATCCCAGGCTGCTCAGAGCCCCATCCAGCCTCGCCTTGGGCACTGCCAGGGATGGGGCAGACACAGCTTCTCTGGGAAACCTGTGCCAGGGCCTCAGCACCCTCACAGGGAAGATATCCAATCTAAACCTGCTCTCTGTCAATGTGAAGCCATTCCTGTCACTCCAGGCCCTTGTCAAGAGTCTCCATCTTTCCTGTGGGCTCCCTTCAGGTGTTGGAAGGCACCAATGAGGTCACCCCAAAGATTCTCTTCTCCAGGCTGAACTGTCCCAATTCCCTCAGCCTTTCCTCCCAGCAGAGCTGCTCCATCCCTCTGATCCCCTTGGTGTCCCTGCTCTGGCCTGGCTCCAGCAGCTCCCTGTCCTTCCTGTGCTGGGAATCCAGAGCTGGAGGCAGCTCTGGAGCAGGGGCTCAGCAGAGCAGAGAGGCAGAGGAGCAGAATCCCCCCTCCCTGCTCCCCACACCACTTTGGATATGGGAGTGTATCTCCTTGGGAAAAGCAGCAGCCCTAGAGGCTGTCACCTGGGAAGGAACCATTCCCGTGATCATCATCCAGGATGCTGCCTACAAAGAGCCAGTTTGCTGACAAGCCTGACACATGATGATCAAATATCAACTGCAGGTATTTTTCCAGCTGGAAACTAGGATAGAACCATGCAATGAGGTCTTTCACTTCTTTCCCCATCCTGGAAAACACAACCTTGTACACTGAGCATTATCAGCAGGATAGCACCTCTCTGGACAGGATTTTAACTTGTCCCTCCACCTGATATAATTAAGCTTCAAAATCAGAAACTTCAATAAACTCTAACAAAAGGTCAAAGAAAAACAAAGAAAAACAGCCATTCCTCCATCTCAAAGACACTTTTGTGAGGGAGGGGCATGGGAATTTAGGGGGAAAACGAGAGTAAGTAGAAGGCATGACAAAGGAGTTATTGTGAGATAATCTTGTTTGTGTGGAACTAGAAATAAAACAGCAGAAAATTTAAAAGGAATGGTAAATGAGCACAAAAAACTATGTGGGGTTTGACAGTTTTACACAGGCTTAAAAGTTTGAAGGTAAAAAACTGCTTGTAAGGCACAAATATTTGAAGGGAACAAAAAAAGGAAGCGATTTTTGTGTTGAGTGTATACTTGCACTGTGAGATTACTGCTGCACCAAAATAATTCTTTACAGTGATACAAACACTCATAGATCTCCATGTAAAGGTGGCTATGCATGTACATCCCATTACATAAAACAGCAATGAAATCTGTGTCTAAATATCAGCAGGAATTCATCAAACTCAACTGTTAGCATATAACAAAATCATTTGAAGAAAAAGAAGTGTGAATATAAATACACAAACATACATTTAAAATAGATGTGTTCAAAAAGAATAAAAAACATGCCACCCATTTCTCAGATCTTTCAACAAAGTTTTATGAGTGAATAAAATCTGTCAGTATAAATAATATTTAATTAAACCTGATAGCTCAACCACAAGCACCCACACTTGTCTATTTGATTAGGCTCAAAATCCCAGTGTTACATTACAACTGGAGGTGAAAAACCTCGATTGTATTGAATGAGAAATGACTTGGAAGTTAGTGAACAAAATTTACACTTTTTCTGGGATCCAAAGGGGTGTTAAATGCAGACACGATATGAACTGGGCACTGTTTTTTGTCGTAACCACTCCCTGTCCTATGACCAAGAACAGTTTTTTACATTGTTGGGTTCTCCCCAAGTAAATCTGAAGTTTCCACACTTCTGTCCCATTTTTGGGGTTTTGATGCAAATCTGACTGATCGCAGGTGCAAGTTATTGCTCAGTCTGTAAGAACAATCTCAAAAAATCTTCCTGTGAAATTTCTGTATTTCATGAGGTCCATTTCTTTTTATCATTCAGAAAGTGATATGAAGTTAGCAAATAATGTGTTCATTTCAAAAACACAAAACATTTTTTTAAATTAATTTTCACTTGCTCATAGAGCTTTATAGAAAGCATTAAATAACTGTAATTCTGTGCAATAACCTCACTCATGACACAATTAATTTCTCCAATTATGGCATCTTTCCTTCATACTGTTTACACAGATGCTTATGTATTTAACACACATTTGCACTAGGTGTTAATTGATATGGTTAGAACAGTCAAATGGTCATAAAACACTTCTGGAAATAGTGGACTCCTTCAAAGGAACTTTTGATGTATTTAGGATTAAGATGCTACAAGAAAATTTTTAAAATTTTCCTTGGTATTTTTTGCAGAATTGTTGCTAACAGTATTTAAAAGGTAACTTATTTGCAATATAAGCAACTCCAGAGGGCTCTTAACAAATTAACTTCTTGGTTTTAAATTTCCATGCTCATGGTCATTATTATTATGATTCAAGAGCTGCACTTCAGTCAAACCAAGATCTTATTGATAAAAAACCAGGCTGAAATGGTTCAGAGACTCATCTCTAACTGCTCTGATCTCAAATATTTGCTGTGCAGTGTGCTTTTACTCAAGTCATGCTAAATGACCCAATTTAGGCCATTAATGCACACATTATTATTCCTGGATATAACTCCTTTTTATTTTTATTTTTATTTTTCTATGAAATAAAAATAGCTGTGGACTACACATGTTTTTGTCTATCATCTAAGAACAATCTCAAAATTTGGACCAAAAATTCATGCAAATCCCACACAATTAAATCCTGCATTTAACTACATAAAAGAAAAATAATTGAATGGTTTCTCCAAGACCACAGAAAATGGCAGCTGTTAAGAAGTAAGTATTAAGTTGCACTGAGACATTTTCTCAGCGCTACATGCTCCTTGAATCTGTTCCAAGCTGGCTCCAGCATTATAGAATATTTTTGATCCCAACAGATGAAGTGTCCTTATTTATTTAGCATTTTTAATACTTGTGTTTAGTGGCATGCTGAGGAAACAAGGTGAGAGATGGATCATTTTCTTTGGGTATCACACATGTTAATACTTTTTTCAAACAGGAAGGAGTTGACACTAAAAGAAAATCATGGAAATTCTTGCATGTGCACATCCATACCTGAGCATCAAGGAGCTCTTGACATTTGTGAGAATGCTTTTCAATGGTTAATATATACTGCTTTTCAATAGCTGCTTCTTGCTGCTGAACTGTAGATTGTAGCAGTGCCTGCAAAAAAAGGCACAAAATACTCAACAAAGATATAACTGCGATGCTTACTGGTAACTGCAGATCCACTAAGACCCATCTACAACCAGAACGTGGAATGCTATTACAAATTTGGAATGTGCAATGATTAAAGAACCTTTCTATGTAACACTACCTTGTTTTCAGTCATGACTAACATTTTTTGTATCTCAGATTTCTTATACAGTCTGCCTAAAAGACAGCAGCACACAGAAGATAGAGAGGGAGAGTATTTCTGTTAAATATACTCAGTTTAGTGGGACCACACAAGAAGAGAAGCATATGAAAGCTGAATTTGAGAAGAAAAAAAAAAAAAAAAAAAAAAAAAGAAAAAGCCAGACATATTTCCCTGGCTGACAAAACTCCACATCCTCTCGGCACTGTGCAAGATCCCATGGGCCAAGCATGATCTTCACAACCACAAGTCAAGTAAAAGCAGATGGAAATTCTGAGTAACATAAAACATAAAAGAATGCCCCCCCAGGATGTTCACACTTGAATGTGAAGCAGTGGAAGTCGAAGTGTGGAAAGTCAAAGCACCAAGGCAGTAACAAACAGCTGATGGGAGCAGGAGCTGTGAGTGTGTGAGCACGTGTTTGTGCACACGCCTGAACTCACACCCGCTCGGCTGCGCCCTGCAGAACCTCCAGCATCTCAATGCAGAAACAGAAATTAAAAACTTGAAGATACATGAAGAAACCAAGTTATCATCTGGAGAATTACACTCAGGTTTCCCTAAACAATGATGGTAGCTAAATATTTACCTGGCTTAAGCCTTTTTCCCTGATAGTATAAAGTCTTTTTGCCACTTTCCAAATATTCATCAGGCTATTTATACACAGTGTACCAAACTATTCTTAACTAGTAATCAATATACTGAAGTAGTCAAAATGACTGGGTAAGTTAAAACAGACATGACTTTTACAGAAAACAGACCTTTGGCCCAAATGCAGAAAAAGAAAAAAATCCCAATCTTTCAAACAGTCTTTATTTTAGAGATACATTTACTTCATGGAACATAACACACACATCAAATAAAATTTTGAATACTTCAAAAAAAAACCCCAAGAATGTATAAAAAAGATAAAATCTTCTGACAATTTTTCAATTATCTTTCTAAATTTTCCACTATCCTCTTATGCCAAAATCACCACTCTTCAGTAATGCTGTACCATGGTAGCAGTTCTCAGCACAAGCTCAGTGATGAAAAAGGTTAAAATTTGTGCTTAATCAAAGTGTAAGAAAACATTTACTGGTAGTTGCAAGGTATATAGAAAACTGTAAGTTTACTTTCAAAAAAGCCAGTTTATCTCTAACTAAATTAAATTCTTTCATTCATAGAAATTTGAGCACTCAGAAAAACTGAACTCTCAAGGAAGTGTAACTTCTGTACATAAATCTTTATACTCTGCCTAAATTAGAATAGCCACATATCACTGGCAAAAATTCAGCCTGGACCTTGGGGTTTGGGTTCTTTCTTTTGCCTAAATTATTGTAGCAAGGAATGTTTCATGTAACCAGTACAAAAAAAATCAAAATAATTCTGTTCTTTGGGAACACAGTAACAGAATGGTCATTAGGCTGCCATGGCACTTCTCAGACAGTTCCTTGCTCAGGCCAAGGGTTGAGTCACCTTATGCACTTTGCTGTGCAGACTTCACTGGCAACTGCTAAAATCCTATTAAATGGTATAAAGAACTTTCAGTTTTCAATGAAATAATCATTATTCATTGGATTGCATGTAGAGGCTGTTAAGTTTTTAAAATTAACTTACTATTACTATTTTTCTATGGAAAATACATAAAATTCCACATTCAGAAAGAAAAGCCTTCCTTTTCTGTCATACTCACTATTAATGCAGTTTAAATAGCACCACAGGGTTGATGCTGAATTTAACTGTTCCACTAGTTGGCCAAGTGAGGAGAAAGAGAAAAATCTCCTTCTGTAGAACAGTACTACAGGTTTCTCAATGGGAAATACAGCACAGATATGTGATACCCATCCAAATCTTTGGCAAATTTCAAGATAATCAACTACTCAAATTTAATGATTAAAAAAAAAATTACCAATTAGCTCATTTGCTTAACTGAAACACACATTTGGCTACTTGATGATCAGTATCTCTACAGTTACAACAACAATGACACCAAAAGTCTTTTGATTAATTGCTGTCCTGGGCAAATATTCTTATCACTGCTAAAACACCACTTTCTTCCTTAATTACTTAAGGAGGAGTTTTTAATTGTGCTGCTGGGCTGACATTCCATAAATGTACAGTGGATGACCTAACACCAAGCTGGCATAGTTGAAACAGTCTCCTTTTAATGGAGTCATTTCAAGTAAGTTTACAGCAGAATCTAGCCTATGGCACCTGTTGCATGAAGTCAAGGGTAGGATTTCAACATGAGTGCTCTTGTTAATTAATTTTTCCTTCTATATATTGTGCAATGAACTTCCTTGACACTGGTTGAGAAGGATCATCAGAGAATCACAGGATCATAGGATTTTAAGGGCTGGAAGGGACTTTAAAGATCATGTAGCCCCAACTCTCTGCTGTAGGCAGGGACACTTTCCACCAGACGAGGTGGCCCAGAGCCCCATCCAGCCTTGGCTTCTTCTCCACTTTCTGATCTCTCTACTAACCCAAAAAAATGTCAGAGAATTGATGCTTCTTTTCCTTCAATAACCAGAACGTCATGGTGGCTTCTGACAGAAAAAAATAGAGTGAAACCCCTTAAGTTCTCTATAGGGTCTTCATTTTAGTTTGATATGTGATGCATTATAAAAATCATAGAAAAAAAAGTTATTTCCTCAAACCATTATAAAAAAAAATCTTCATGATCAAAACGTTCTTAAATTAAATTAGGTAAATTAAGTAAATTAGTCTGAACCTCTGTTTGAGCTCAGACAAAGAACTGAGCTTTAAGTTTCATACATTGAAATAATTTTAGAAGACCTTAAGCTGAAAGTAAATTCAAATATCATAATAAGATCCATGATCACCCTGGGAGTTTTTTATGGGAATACACATCTATGCCATGTCTTAGCACTGGTCAGAGTATTTAGCTCTGGAACTGACAGCACACCACCTGTGTGGTGGGAATCCTGGAGAATGGCATTCCTGCACACACACCAGGGACTGAAAAACTGCACTGTGCCAAATATGAGTAGAAAAGCTTAAAACCACAAATGATCACAACACTTCATCCTGCATTTCTACAGTGTGTTATGTACTGAGTACCAGATTATCTCTAAAATTTCTCCATATACTTAAAAAGTCAAAAGTGCAGTAACTATGGTTTTGCCAAAAGTGGACACCCCAGCCTATTTTTAATACAAACCTACTTGCACAGCCCTAGTGCATAATGTGTTCATTCTACTGGCAACAGAAACCACAGCCCAGACAGAATTTATTGTAAGGCTAGAAGCTAGAATTTATGAGAAACCCTCTTGAATGAAATAGCCAAAATAAGACCGTTATCCCAATTCTTCCTGAATTCCCCAAGAGTAACAAATTACCAAACCCCTTTCTTTCAATTCCCTCTTTTTTCTATAGGGAAAAGCTATAAAGAATAAAGGCAGCATGAAAAACAAAGATACAAATCATGGTATACATGTTGCTGGGTTATGTTTTAGAATGTTTCTTAAAAGCACTGTATCAAAAGCCACAGTCAATCCAAAAGATATTCTGATCAAGCATCATTGACTTGTTTAAGTAACTTAATGGAAGCCAGTACATCAAACCACTTCTTTACTTCAAAACTGATGAGTCAGGATGACCAAAACAAGTCATTCTTAAAAATAAAAGTTACTAATGAGAAGTTACCACACTGCTTCAAACATGCGAACCGCATTAAATACAGCAATAATACTTTGGAATTTTTATGCTTTATAGCATTAGACAATGATTCATCTAATTTAGCATCCTGTCTCCACCACTTAATAACTCGCTAGTATTTAATTTAAGGGTGAAATGCAATTAACCAATTGCTGAATGATAAAACGGAACAGAGGACACAATGCAAATTCTTTCCTGACCCGTGGAAAAGATGCATTAACTCAATAAAATGCAGTATTTTACTAGTTGGGTTTTAATTCAGCTATTAGCTAAGACAGAGATGATACAAACAAAGCTATTTAGAAGATTTCTGAAAATGTATTTTTCAAAAGAATTCAACCTATCCACTTCAGCCCAAAATATTGCAGATTTTCATGACTGGGCTCTTTCCAGGTGAGCCTGCCTTTTTAGTGAAAATGAAACATGTCCATTTAGGTGCTATGGAATAAGGGAGGTTAAATAAAAAAAAAAGGGATAATATATTTTTTGCAGTGATATAAAAAAATTGAATTTTTTTATTTCTTGAATATTTGTGGATATATGTTGAATATCCACAAGCACATTCAACTGCTTGTGGTTGAAACAGTGTTGATCCATACCAGTAAGGATCAACAACTTACAGTTTGAATACTATGCTGGGTTTATCTAGATAGCTCAGTTTTACTGGTATGTGAGGGCAAAAGATTTATTTTCCACAAAACAATGTTCTCACAGACTCCTTCCAGAAACAAACTGCAAACTCCCTCTTAATCGTCTATTAACCTTCCAGTTTTTATAATATTTAAACCTCTATTTATTATTCTATAGTCAGAAGAACATACAAAATTGGTCCTTACTAGAAGGGGAGGGAAAGATTCCTTGCAATTTTTTAATTGCTTTCAAAATGTAAAGGCCTTTTAATTAGCAATAAAATTTTTTTGATAGCCAGATCTCTGAAAGTATGAGACTTGATTGCACCTCGTTGTTATTGAAATTCTTTAGAGAGACTTCCTTGGTAGCATCACTGTTGTACAGAAGTACTCTTGTACTGTAAAATCCCAAGGAATCTCTCATTTTCCAGCCACCAGCTCTCCATGAGAAAAAACAATGTTGTTTTATATTCTAGGCTCACTTTAATTCTAGTTTGACTTGCACATGAACAAGCACAGAAGTTGGAAGTGAAATACAAGCCCTTGCAACAATTTTGGATTTGTCCTTTTATTCATGTGTCAGGCCTTTCTGAGCCAGGATGTCAGCTTGGAAACTTAATAAGCTAAGCTGATGTTTAAAAGAGCTGAGAACTGGCCACATTTCAGAGCTTTCCCTCACTAGGGATAAACTATGTCTAAAAAAAGATATCCTGATTCTAGATTAACTTCTTTTGTAATGAAATCCTTTAAAATTTCTTTTGTTTATTGGAGAGTAACCTTTCAGTTCAGAGGTGTATTATTGGCACAAATATTTTTGAAAGAAAATCTGATGGCCCCCACATATTCCATGCTTTGAAAATCTGTCTGTTCTTACATTCTGAAAATCTGAAAAAAACCCCATCACCTCACACTGAAAACTGGTGGACAAAACTCTTAGTACAGCAAGGGCTGGGAAGAACTTTGCACCTTGAAGTTCATTTCTATAACGAGAACACACATCTGATTCATGCAGTTGTCTTTTTGCATAAAATAATCTAAGAGAATAAAACCCATCAAATAAATACACCTGTATGTAACCTCATATTCTTTAAAGCTTACAGTAGAGGATATTTCATAGGATGAGAAATAAAACAGATTAAAACTATTAACTCATCTATTTACAGAGCTGTGACAATTTCAGAACAAAAGCTTGACTAAATAAGCACAGGAGAAATTCTTATGTAGCTTGTGGTAAATATCTTAAGATGTGATGTGATCCCACAAGCAAAACTTCCAAGATCTACATTTACTTTTCTTTACCGTGGCTAATTACCAGGGATAAAAGTTTAAAACAACAATGACATGAAAGACAGAAATTAAACAAAATTAGGTAAACAGGAGAAGGGGAAACTTGGCCTACACAGAACAGTGAGTTAATTTTTAATTTGCTTTCCTGTGGTTTTTAATACAAATTTCGTGACTGTGTTGTGGATGGTTTATTTGTTGTAAGGAAGATTAGAATGTGAGATGCTTAACAATGGCCAAGGCTTTTGAAGGTTTGTGCTACGAAGCATCTAATGGTCTCTATTAATGGATTTCCAAACACATTCAACAAGTGAACATTCCAAAGACAACTGAATTTAATTCTAAGGGCTTTGGTATATCCAGGTCCCTGAAGATAGGTAGTTCAATATTTTACTTCTTGTGTAAGCTGCATTTTCAACACTGCTGCCATATTAAGAAGGACCAGTCAGGAGTAGGAATTGAGGGGGTTTGTCCTCAAATTTAAGTACCTGTCTGCCCAGGGATACCACAGTAGGGAAAGATCTGCATTTTCAACACTGCTGCCATATTAAGAAGGACCAGTCAGGAGTAGGAATTGTTTGTCCTCAAATTTAAGTACATGTCTGCCCAGGGATACCACAGCAGGGAAAGAACCATGTGGAGAAATACTGTCCCTTTTACAACAAATAAGTCCCCAAAATGCAGGAAAGGGACTAGAAGGAAGTGTAAGCCATTTGGAAGTACAGGAAAATACATCAACAACAACAGAGGTCTGCAGCAGGACATCTGGAAGGAATGGACTTAGTTCTGAATGAAAGAAAACTGTGTTTTTCTGGTTACCAGCTTGGCAGCATTGGACACAGAAGCTACAAAACAGCAACTCTCTTCACCTCTGTAAACCAAAAGGAAGGCATGTTCACAAATCCACCAACAATAACACTTACCTATGCCAGGAATACAGAAAAGACAAGTCAGACTACTTTCTTCCACTGTTGTTCTTCCACTGTTGTTCCAAGGTTTCAATAAAAGTTAAATAAAAGTTACAGGATTTGGGGTTTGAGGCATCTGGGGATTATTTCCTGGGGCTAAGGATGAACTGCTCATATTTTCACAAACTATCCTTAAACAACCAATTTGGGCATTATAAGTTGTGCTATGGCTCTGCTTGGAGCAGCACCACAGAATTATAATGGACTGGTTTCAGAGAGGATTAGTCAGAATTCCAACACTCCTGACTGCAACACAACCTAATTAGGGCCTGAGCAATCCCCTGATTGGAATAACCCTCATCAGTTCACTTCGTTAAATCCCCAGGAATTCAAAATAAGCCTGTTTTCATCGCAAATAAGATTTTCCTTCCCATGCCTTTTTAAATGACCCATACACTTGTTTAGGTGAATTTCCACACTCAGGGTAACTTGGGGATTAATTAGATAGTATTTACAAAAAACCTACTGAAAATGGAAGTTACTTCTGCATATAAACAATATGTATTAGAGTAAAACAGTCTGAATCTAAAGAGGATGTATTTCAGCACAAAATTAAGTCTGGCTAATCATGAGTAAATTAAAAGAGTTAATGAATCTCATGATTCTGTCTTTCACTGAAAGGACTAATTCACATTCCTAAACAAATGCTACATTAGGAACCGTTATCTGGTTATCTAATTGCCATCATGTCTGAAAAATTGAATAAACTGCTAAGGATCTGAGCAGTTAAAAAGCCCCAAGAATGGAAGATACTACTTTTATAATTACAAAACCACATTTGACTCGTTTACTTAAGAAAAAATAAATCTTAGCCCTGTTTCATTTTGAAATATTAACAATGAATTAACATTTTAAAAGAATCCAGGAGAAAATTTTCTCAAACAAAAATACAGAACAGATTTTACCTCCACTGATGAAACAGTGTTACTTTTTTATTTAAAGAACATGGCAAAGGATTACAAGAAAGGTATTAAACAAACAACCAGAACATGCTTGGGTTTTTTTAAAACCCTAATGAATAAGTCACTTCATGTTTGCAAACAGGGCTGATTGCAGTCATTTAATCAGAGCTTGGCATATCTGATATTATTTCTCATCAGAGTGTTCAACTAACCACATGAGGACACAGGAAGGCTTGTATGAGGTGTACTCATGTCATGGTTCCATGGTACTAAAGAGCGACTTTATGTAACTTGAATATAAACATTCTATGAGAAATAATACAGTAAATATAAACATTGTTTAGAAACACAGGGTTCAATTAACTCCCTAATCTTTTGTGCCAAATCACTGATAAACATAAATCTTACTTTGCAGAAGGCATGTCAGATATACCCAGCTGCTGCTGGGTAAAACAGCTTTCAAAAATTATTATGGTACATAAATGTATCCCTTTACCCAACTACACAGGAAGAAATTATTCCTTTAAAGGACCAATACAACCCATGCAGAGCTCTCCTTTAGTTCACACAAATCAATTAAAACGGTGAAAAATTACACCTCGAAAACACTCAAAACTTTCATTCAACACCATAAAATCATTGGATTTCACAATTTGCTTATATTTTCAGAACTAAAAAGAAGGAAATGTAAGTGCAGCAATTACCAAAAGCTCACAAGCTTTTTCAAATGTAAGTCCACACAGGTACAGACAGACATTTTACATCTAGAACAAAATAGAAACTAAAAATGCTGCCATTGAAGTTGTTCAGTGGAACATCCAAAGGTGCACACTCCAAATACAATTCCCTTCTGAGAACTTCTAAGGCAAAGGAGTCCTCAAAGAATTAAGGGAAGAGGAGCAAAATTCTGCCCCAGAAGTGAAATGAGGGAGGCTTGGAGAAGTGGGACACCACCAGTGGCCATGTTTAAGTTCTCTCAGGAATGGAAACTTTTAAAATGTTTTTCTGTATAGGTTCAGAATGAAATTAGTATAAGTCATATTGATGGAGACAGACATATTTCTACATAGAGGCAATTTCAATATTAGTTAAAAAACTATCAACAGTTACTAGCAAGATATTAAAAGGCTTTCTTATTATCATAAAATCATTAATATTGGAAATTATTGCTAAAATCATCAAGTCCAACCCCTAACCCAGCACTGCCAAGCCCACCACTACATCTTCCTGCCCTGCATGCCAGATTGGTTACAAATTACTGCTACCAAACAGTTAAAATCTGAAATTCCCCTTCACTAACTACATTGTCAGATTTTTTTGTCAGTTCACAGTTGCCTACCAGGTCTTAACTTTCCCTTTTCATTTTCAAAACCAGCCTTAATTTCCATTTCCTATTACCAGTTTTAAGTCTAATTAGAATTCTTAGCTTTACCTTCTCCTCCTAACTTGATTCAGTTTTTGCCCTTTGCGAGTTTCCTACCCAATAGTTTCCATAACAGAACAAAAGACACAGATTTATGCTCCATAGTAACATCCAGTTCTTTTATTTTACAAGCTGACAGGAACTAAAACAGCATGAAAGAAGAGCTACAGATTCTGCTTTACTTTATCCAGAACTCTTTCCCTTAGTGCTGTGTGGATAAAAACCTGCTGAACTGCTCTGTGATGCTGCTTTCCTGCAAGTGCAGCTCTGGAGACTGAAGAGGTCCAAAATGTGGATTTGTGATAAACAATCCAACCCAAAGTTTACCACAACTGACTGAGAATGTTTGGTTTGTTCTGGTTTTAAGTTTCCTTACTGAAAATGGCTAACCAACTCTATCTGAAGTTTTCCAAAGCGCAGACTGGGAAAACATGTCATGCAAAATTTCAGACCAAACAATCTAAATTGAAAGCAACAGAAAAGACAGCGAGAGAGGTCGAGCAATCAGCACAAGCAATACTAATAATTGTGCACTGCAGGCAGTCATCCTATTCACAACTACAATAACACCATTTGGAAATTCTGTTAGCTTGGCAACTCACTTACCTTGAATTCTTCAACAATAATAGTTAAGGCTTCATGTCCAGCTTTTCTCATGTCTTCTAATTCCTGTTTATGCTTTTCCTGTACAAAAATACAGAAAACATTAGGCACATGACATATCAATTTTAATTCAGGTAAATAAATAAATAAATAAATAAATGGCAATTATTTTCCTGTTTTAGTATCTTTCATGAAGAAATGCACACAGCTTGATCCTTTAGATATTATATATATAATGTATATTAATATTATATGTGTATGTATCTATCTACCTATATGCTAAATTCAAGTAGGTCCAAGCACTAAACTTATTTTTACTTCTTAACTTTACTTTATAGACCTCAGATGGTTCTAAATGGTTCTCCTTTTTATTTTTTCAGAACTTTCTTTGTTTTTTGGTATACCTGTGGATGACAGGACTTCCAAATCACCTTCTTAGTAACGGTTATTTACTGCCTCTATCAATAAAAATGTTGAGATAAAGTAGTATCAAATTGACTATTCTCAGAAATGCACATCTTTTCCTACTTATGTGGCTCTTCTTTCATCATTTGTTTTATTCTTAAGATTCCTGGGAAATTCTTCTTGCAAAAGAAATCCTATATAGGTTTTTCAAACAAAGCTGCATTGTTCACTTTTTATTTTCTTCACAGTTATGTAAAAGGAACCTGGAGAGAAACATTCTAGCATTTTTTTTCTTTATCTAATAGTTTGCTAAGGCTGCAATGTGAAGACCTCATTGGATTTTCACCAGCATTTCCCCCTTATCAATGAGCAGCACCACTTTTTCCAATCATCAATTAGTAAGAAGATGAAAAACATTCCCCCCCTCCTTGTTCTTTGCTTCAGGGTCTGTTCTTGCATCAGCTCATATGGCAGGATGTAGTTGCTTTAAATCATCTTGGATTGAAATCATTGGATTTTCTTGGTGCAGAAAGCAGAAACACATAAATCACAAATGTTACTTTGCAGTGATCACAGGACAAAAACATACACAACTTACACTATATAATTTTTTGCTTTTTGGGTAATAATAAAGTTGAAATTAATTAATAAAATTCTATGCTTCCTAAGATCTGTGTGTTTGGAATAAGAAAAACCTAGTGTCTAACAAAGCATGTAAGACCATTAAAAATTAATTAATCAGACTGTAACTGTATTTAACTAGAGATTTCTGCTCTCAATTCCTTTCTTCTGAAAGAGTCATTCTTAGCAAAAACTAGGAAACTACAGCTACACAATCCTCTCACCTCTAGCCGAAATCTACTGAGACATTTGCATTTTCTTTAATAAAACGGTGGGCTTTTGTGAAGCCCAGCAAGAACCGCTGCTAAGTAGAAGAATTACAGATGGAAATATTTTGCTGTGCACATTAAATATTACCTCAGACAACAACACACAACATGTGGTTACATCATTTTAATCCCACTGTGATGCAGTAATATATCACTGATATCACAAATCATTCAAACTCTGATACTATACAGGTTAAGAAAACCCAATTGTTTTGACTGAGGAAGTAAGATATCCCATTTGGTAGAAAGCACAGTGCCTCTTACTCACAATACCAGGCAAAGCAAAACACAGAGCAAAAAATGCCACTTGTCCCCTTACAATGAATTCCTCAAGTTTTCAGAACCAGTGACTTGTTCAAGGTCATGTCCTGAATGTGAACTGGTAACACAACTTGAAGCATCGACACCAAGGCATTCCTGTAACACCTGTAAATATTCTTCTATTCCTGCAGGAAATTTTCAAGGCAGGTATCTGAGCTGCTGCTGACTGCCTGTCTTCTGTAAGGCTGTGGCACCCTCAGTCCGAGCCAGTACCTCAGAAATTAATGCATTCTCTTCCCTTTTCATTTCTGTTCTCATGCAAGAAGGTAAACTATAGCTCCCTGCAGGTAGCTGAAGTAGAAGACAAATTTCAAATCCATCTTTGCTTTACACAATTACACAATTACATCATTAAAAGTCCTCATAGTGGAGTCCATTGCACTGAAATTTTTGTCTCCATGAAATCAACTCTTCCTTAAGAGCATAATTTAAAAAAATTACTAATAGCATTTAGCATCATAACGATTCTGTTAAGAAACGCTAAGTTCTTATTTGAAGATATAAATATTTCCTTCAAATCACCCAAGTACAGAGAAAAAATAATAGCAGTGTTGAATGCAAAGGAGAAATTGAGGTAAACATGATGAGAATCAGTCCATAATGGCTAATTAATATACACACTAGAGTGTGCTATTGTGTATAAAATAGAGATTGGTCACTATTTCTGTCCATGTGAAATAAGAATGTGAGCTCTACAGAACTAAGACATGGGAGCATCTCCAGGTCTCTAGCAAAGCAAGGATTTTCACTTTTGTTCTATCATCAACATCCTAGTGAAAGATACAGCTAAGAACCTAAAGATAAGGAAAAATACAGGGAGGAGTGAAAGATTTCAGATATCCCAAGATAACCAAAACCCCCACATTATACACAACCTTCAGCTCACCACAGGAAGCAAGGAGACATTGATTTATTTCATACAAGTAAACATAATTTGTACCTGAAGCATAACAATGGAAGACTCTGAGGTGAAAAATGAAGTGAGGTAGCAAATGAACTTTCACAAACAACTGCCTAACATCGTGGTGGTGAGGACATTTCCTGCTGAGTTAGAAATGAGTTGAGCCAGAGTTGAGTGAGTGTGAACAGAGCAGCCTGCTGGGAATATTATGACTGATTAAATGTGAAAAACTATGCAAAGGAAATAGTATGGAAGAGCCTGCACATGCCCCACACTGCAACATAACTACAGTTCCCTCTCTGAGTATTTAAGGTATAGAACAAAGGTCTCTACCCTGTCACATTTAAGACATTAATATTTTGTGAAGAACAATTATAGTTTATATCTGCTCTTTCTTCTTCCCTACAGGATGTGCATACAGAGACCCTCCACTGAAGAGGACATTAAACAATAAAAAGAAGTGGTGAAGCTAAAGTGTTGTTAGTATGAAAGCACTTTTTACTACCAAAACTGCATGATATGGTAAACAGCACCTACACTTGGCTCAGGAAGCCTTCCCTGGCTGCCTTGAGGTTTTTAAAATCTTACACAGATAGTTCTTTGGGATGAAGTTACAAATGTAGCAGGGCAACGTATGTCCTAGATAGTTTCCTACTTCCCCACATAATCTAAATGGTGGGACAGGATAGCAAGAGGAAGCAAGGAAGGAATGAACAGGAGAACAATGCCAGGGAAGCTGACAAGAGAACATATTTCCCTTAAACAACAAAGTAAGCATAAAAGCATTCTGAGCTTCATTAGGATATTTTTATGTCTCTTATCTCAAAAGCATCAGTCTTCAGATCAAATTAAATTCCACCATTGTCCATAAAGAACAAAATATTAATTTGGAAAGGGTTGCCAGCTGCCATCAATGGCTACTGATACTGAAGCCAGTTGTAACACCCAACACAACTTTACGTGGTGCATGTATTTAAAAATATATCAGTATTTATGTAATTATTTACTGTAGTACACTTCATGATACATATAGATAAGTATGAAAAAACTACACTAGGAGAGTTTTCCTTCTTTCTATAGATAGGAGACTGACCTGCACATTGCAAGGGTCTAGAAAAAAGGGCAGCTTAGTGAAAGAGGGTCATGTTAGGAAATACTTCAGCAAGTTGGACATAATTAAGTCCGTGATGCCTGACAGGATGACCCCACAAGTGCTGAGGGAGCTGGCAGATACAATTGTGAGGCTCCACTCAATAGCTGTGGGCTATCACAATGACTGAAGAAGTGTCTGAGAACTGGAGGTAGGAAATGTCATCCACGCCTTCAGGAAATGACAAGAATCCACAAGGAGCTACAGGCTAGGAAGTCCCAAGTCAGGACCTGGGAAGGTAATTGTGCCAGTTTTCCCTGTGACAGAGGGAAGTTTTTCACTGTAGGGTTTTTCACAGTAGGAGTTTTTCACAGTAAGGTTTTTCACAGTAGAAGTTTTTCACTTATATGTTTTGGATTTGTGCTGGAAGAAGTATCTGTAACTCATGGGTATTTTAGTTACTGCTGGCTTTTGACACTTCTCTAAAATCCTCATGGAGAAGCTGCCTAAGTGTGGTCAGGAGAAGCTGAAAGAGAGATGTATTGAAAACTGGCTGAACTGCCACACCCCAAAGGTGGCAGAATGTCCCAGGGGACAAGAAGCTGAACATGAGGACAACAATCCTGGACTGCATGAGGCTAAACGTTGCCCCCAGGTCACAGAGGTGGTCCCACCCTTCCACTCAGCACTCTTAAGGCCATTCCTGTGTCCAGCTCTAGGCTCCCCAGTAGAGAAAAACACATGGGCATAGTGGAGAGACACCAGCAAAGGGACACAAAGATGATGATGGGTCTGGATCATCCTTCACATAAAGAGAGACGGAGAGAGTTAAGACTGTCAAGTCTGGAAAAGGCTCAGGGGGATCTTATCAGTCTATATAAATACCTGAAGGGATGATACAAAAAGAGCAGAGTCAGGCTCTGGAATGGGCTGCCCAGGGAGGTGGTGGAATCACTGTCCCTGGAGGGGTTTGAAGGGAGACTGGATGTGGCACTCAGTTTAGTTGATAAGCTGGTGTTAGGTCATAGGCTGGACTTGATGCTCTCCAAAGTCTTTGCCAATTTAGCTGACTCTGTAATTGTTTTCACCAAGTCCTAATACACTAGGTATGAATTCTGAGGCTACTTGGGTTTTCTCAAAACTTTTCCACAGAAAGCACTAAAAAAGATCTTACAGAGCAAACAACAGTGGAGTGCTGCATATTTATCACAGGTGAGCCCTTCCAAAGGACCCACTGCATACAGCTCACTACAGTACACATGCTCTTTTCCAATATTTATTCTGGATACAATCTTTTATTACCAGTTTCAATCATATGAAATGTCAAATGTCAAAACTAATAATAATCAAACCCACAATTTATATCAACAAAACTTTAACTAGAGATACATTAGGCACCAAAAATTGGTAACATTTCCATCTGCAGCTCTGTTAACCTTTGAGAAGTAACTAACATATGCTTTAGAAATACAAC